TTTTCCAATAAATGCTCCATCAATCTCCTTGCCAGACAGGATTTCTATGGCTACTGAGTAGTAATTTTTCTATTTCCCTCTCTTCCCCCCCCCCCGGTTTTTGTGGGACACTTAGTTTTGGAATTTTATGGAAGATGTTGATGACTCCCTCTTTTTCCCCAGTAGCCCTACTTGAAGCTAAGCCTGAAGGTAACCTTGAAATTGTACCTGAATTAGAATTGAACTAGACTTGGGAGCCAAAGTAATAGAATAATTCATTAACTCCCCCCCCCCACCAAGGAAGTCCCCCTATCTTGGCAATCATTGGAGGAACCACTTTACTATGCTATGCAGAACATGAACCAAAGAAAACAGGTAAGTATTGTTCTGCATACCTGTGGAGCCGAGCACTTCCTTTAAACTGTTACTCCCTCTGCATCTCTCCCATAATAGAAAATTTTAATTGTAAGCTGCCCAGAGTCACCCTCTGGGAGAGATGGGTGGCATATAAATTTATAAGTAAGTAAGTAAGTAAGTAAGTAAGTAAGTAAGTAAGTAAGTAAATAAATAAATAAATAAATAAAGTAGAATATGAATTGAAGCCTTTGCGGTACTGAAGGTTTTTTGTGTATCGTCTGATTGGCCTCTGTGAGAAGGTAATTGCTGGACTAAAAAGGGCCCTGAACAGCATGTATACTCTAATATACATGGAAGATGGTGCGTTTCTTGAGAAGGGCAGACCTGCTTAAAGGTGCTGTGTGTGTAGTCTTGCGTGTTCCAAAGCACCTTTTGAGACTGAATTTGAAATGTTCTGGAAGTCATGTAGAATTTCCTCTTAAGGTTGCTGGGCTGTAGTGCCTTTGTTCTTTTTTCTTTTCATCTGTGATTGTACAAAGTGTTATCCTCTGGTTAAATGAGTAAATGTACTTAACTTATCATACATTTCATATTAAACATCATAGGACATGGGTAATTCTGTGGTAGAGTTCAGTTTGGGGAATGTGTATACATGTGCTAAACACACAAACTTTGTACTTCTGGCCTTTAAATGGTAAAGTTTAATAAATGAAATAGCTACATGGTTTAGTAATGGATTGTAAGAGCCTTTTAATTGCTACTGCTTTAGCAATGGATCATAAGAATTTATGTGGTAGCACTAGTTTCCAAAACACGTTAGGGCTTGATTGCATGCTACATCATTCCTTTTATTTGTTTAGAGGTGAGCGTTCCTTGAGATGGTAGCAAAACTCCAAAAGGATATAAAGTGGGAAGAAAAATCTAATATGGGATTGGGGACCTTATGACTCCATAGTAAGAACTCAACATACATAGTAAGATGGGGAATGAATTTAACATAATGGGGAAAAAAACATTCAGTAAGAATGCTCCACATTGTTTAGCTGCAGATGTCACTTGTCTATTTCTGTTCAGAGTGGCTGGTGGAAAGGTGGGAAAACTGATGGATCGCAAGTGATGAGTAAAATACACATTGATGAGCAATAGCAAATAGAAAGTGCCCTGCTGTTGAAAAGATCCCACCAATGTTTGATTCTTTACAAAGTCATGGAGAAGATATATGAACCTATGTCCATGCTCTTGGTTATAATTTCATCAAATCCTCATTTGCAGACATACTAGCTTTGTGAATGGCACATGTATTCAGGTTGGCCATGCATAGGTTGTGTTCACAGAACATGCTTAACCTAGTTACTGAATTAACTTTGTGCCTGGGTTTGCACAGTATATAGTGCATCATAAACTAACCAAATGGGCTGCATTCACACAACACAATAAGCCACAAATAAACTAAGGTTAAACCTAGTTAAGCTTTGCAAATAATGTAAATGAACTCATTAGCTCTTTAATTTGGTTAAATATGTTATGGAAACACAGTGTGTGGAAAATAATAATATATTGCCTTTCTAAAGTTTAATTCCATTGACTTGTCTTATGGCAGTAAGGATGTCTGTAGGAGGAAGGCTTGTAACAATTTATTAAGATTGATTCTTTTATATAAAGATGCACATGTACACAAAATTGTGCATATTACAGAACTGCACTTCAAAAATCTGAGGACTTTGTTGAAGTTAGAATCTGTCTCAGGTCTACAGTAGGATATAATAATCACTATAAAATGAGAAGTGGGCTGGATTTCATAAAGTGGAAATAGATTTTGTTAAAATGGTAAAAATCTGCTTCCTCCCTCACAATTATAGAAGAACTTTGACATAGCAAACCTCTAAAAATGTAAAATGTGATTTCAGTAAATATATATTTGCAGGGGGGGGGGCGTTCTGTAGGTTCAGGCATGAAGAGTGGCTTTATCTCCCTGTTAAGTATGCACTTAGTTTGCTTCTTTGAAACATGATGATTCTCCATTATAAGGATAATTCAGGAAGAATAACTGAAATGTTTTACACAATGATACTGATTTTTTCCATTAAAAATTATTTATTTTTCTTAACACATTTTATAGAAAAAAACAGAAAAA